CTGTCTCACTCCTCCCATTTCTTTTTGGACATTTGTCATTCAGCCCCAGTGTCCATTTTGAACTATAGCCCAGTTTGGAATCGTTTGGCAAGGGCACAGTCCTCCAGACTGCGAAGTCTGCCCAAGACTTCAGACACCAGCTGCAAGTTTGGGGGTCTCCAGAACCACCCTCACTTCTGGGCAGCCCAATCTAAATTCGGGAGTTTCTACTACCTCCTCAGGTAGTTGCAAGCTCAGGGGTCCCCAGGATATCCTAACTAGTGATGAGCTGGCTTCAAATTTGAGAGTTCACACTACTCCCTCAGGTTTGAAAATCCGCTAGAAGAAATCACAGAACTCAGGAAAGTGCCATACTTAAAAATCACAATTTTATTACAGCAAAAAGGATACAAATTGGAACCAACCAAAAGGAGAGATACATAAGACAATCAGTGTATAAAGAATACTGTCAATCAAACAAGCTCACTCAAGCTTTGGGATCCAGAGGTTTTAGTGGGGTTTCATTACATACACATGATTGTTTGAATTATTGGCCACGTGTTTGAACTCAATTTCTAGTCCCCCCATACTTTCCTGGAGTTTGGGCTATTAACACATGGTGTGTCTTTCTGGCACGGCCAGCCCCATCTTGTGTTATCTCCTTAGCATAACTGCTCAGGTGTGGTCTGGGAGTCCACCATGAATTACAAAAACACTCTAATTACTCCAGAAATTCCAAGAGTTTAGAGATTGTCTCCCAGGAAACAAAGCAAAGGCTAAATTCTTTGGGTAAAGTTAATCCTTCACTTTATACCTTGCTAAATAAATTTATTAGTTCAAGGAGGTTTTGTGTGTGTGTGTGTGCGTGTGTGTGGATTTTTTATGATTATAAAGTACAGGGTCATATTGTCTGCAAATAGAGTTTTATTTTTTCCTTTGCATTCTGTATACTTTTTATTTTCTTGTTGCATATTGTTTCATATATTCTACTCTCAATTTCCTGCCAACTTCAAATTTTCAGAGATTTAGTTAATTGTCTATTGTCTTTTCCCTTGTGAAGCTTTTCTTTTTCCCTTTGCCCCACTCTCCCTGCCCTACTGTCTTATTCTACTTTCTCAGATGCCATTTTTGCCCCCCTCCATGCCTACCAATATAGGAGTTAATAACCTCAAGAACTGTAAACTATATATAGTTACTTCTTGCTCTCTTTCTTCTTTTGCTGCTCCCCATCAACCTCCAGAACTTGACTATGATTTCTGTTGTGAAAATATTGCCCTTACTAAAATTTTCCAGATATTTGCAGCATGGATGCACTGGGGCTCTTCTACCTAGCTTGGAAACATAGCTAGTATGTATGTGTGATGAAAGAATAATAACACCATTTGCAGAAGAAACATCCTATATTTATTAGAACTACTCTCTTGCAAAGAATGGGAATTCCAGAAATTCCAGAACACTTAATTGTGCTCATGAGGAACCTATACATAAAATAAGAGGCAGTCTTTCGAACAGAACAAGGGGATAGTGTGTGTTTTAAATCAGGAAAGGTGTGCATCAGAGTCGTAGCTTTTCACCTTATTTTTTCAATCTGTATGTCTAGCAAATAATTTGAGATGCTGGACTACATGAGGAGCCCTGGTGGCACAGTGGTTAAATGTTGAGCTGCTAACCAAAGATTGGCAGTTCGAATCCACCAGCCACTCCCTGTAAACCCAATGGGGCAGTTCTACTCTGTCCTATAGGGTTGCTGTCTTAGTTATCTAGTGCTGCTATAATAGAAATATCACAAGTGAATGGCTCTAACAAACAGAAATTTATTCTCTCACAGTCTAGGAGGCTAGAAGTCTGAATTCAGGGCATCAGCTCCAGGGGAAGTCTTTCTCTCTCCGTCTTCTCTGGAGGAAGGGCCTTGTCATCAGTTTCCCCCTGGAATAGGAGTTTCTCAGTGCAGGGACTCTGGGTCCAAAAGACATGCTCTGCTCCTGGCACTACTTTCTTGGTGGTATGAGGTCCCCTGTCTCTCTTTTATATCTCAAAAGAGATTAATTTAAGACACAATTCAATTCTGTAGATTGAGTCCTACCTCTTTAACGTAACTGCCACTAATCCCATCTCATTAACATCATAGAGGTAGGATTTACAACACATAGGAAAATCACATTAGCTGATGAAATGGTGGACAATCACACAATACTGGGAATCATGGACTAGCCAAGTTGATACACATTTTGGGGGGACACAATTCAATTCATGACAGTCACTATGAGTCAGAATCTCCTTGATGGCAATGGGTTTGGTTTGTTTGTTTGTTCTTTGGTTTGGACTATATGAAGAAGAACGCAGCATCAGGAGTGAAGGAAGACTCATTAACAACCTGTGATTGCAGATGACACACCTTGCTTGCTGAAAGTGAAGAGGACTTGAAGCACTTATTGATGAAGATCAAAGACTACAGCCTTCAGTATGGATTCCACCTCAACATAAAGAAAACAAAAACCTTCACAACTGGACCAATAAGCAACATCATGATAAACAGAGAAAAGAGAATGAAGTTGTCAAGGATTTGACAACTTGTTAGATTCACAATCAATGTCCATGGAAGTAGCAGTTAAAAATTCATATGACGTTGTGTTGGGCAAATCTGCAGCAAAAGACTTCTTTAAAGTGTTGAAAAGCAAAGATGTCAATTTGAAGACTAAGCTGCACCTGACCGAAGCCATGGTATTTTCAGTCGCCTCATACGTATGTGAAAGCTGGATAACGAATAAGGAAGACCAAAGAAGAATTGATGCCTTTGAATTATGGTGTTGGCGAAGAATATTGAATATACGGTAAATTGCCGGAAGAATGAATGCTTCTTAGTAGCAAGGATGCCAAGACATACTTTGGACATATCAGGAGGGACCAGTCTCTGGAGAAGGACATCATGCTTGGTAAAGTAGAGGGTCAGCGAAAAAGAGGGAGACCCTTAATGACATTGATTGACACAGTGGCTACAACAGTGGGCTCAAGCATAGCAACAATTGTGAGGATGGTGCAGGACCCAGCAGTGTTTTCTTCTGCTGTACACCGACTCATTATGAGTTGGAATGGAGTGGAAGGCACCTAACAACAACACAACCACAACACTCTCAAGGAAAATTTTCACCAGAGCTAAGAAAGGCCCTCAGTTCAGCTGTTTTTCCACCCCAAAAGCATCCCCTTAGAAAGAATTCATAACCAAGATGGTGTCTGACATTCCAGACTCTGGAGCCTGTTGTGAAAGAAAGATCACGGGCTTTGCAATTTAACAGCTGAAAAGCTACTCTTTGGTAAATTGCATGTGGTATTATTATCTGCTCTTCACAGTTTCCTCTTCAGGGGGGCTTTCCTAAAATCACATTCATGTTAATTTCCCTTATTATGCGCTCTAGTGTATCTTGTATCTACCCTTTGTAGCATTTGTCACAGTTTCACTTTTCACATATGTAATTATTTATTAACCTCAACTTCCTATATCAGACTATCAACTTCATGAGGCCAGGGGCTACCTCTGTATCCCCAGGCTATTCTCATCACTGTGCACCCAGAGTCTAGCACAGTGCCTGGCACACAGTAGGCGCTCAGGGAACAAATGACTGACAAAGGAGTAGCTCCCCATGGCAGGAGCGCAGAGCTGAGACTTGGAAGGAGCCGCCCAGGCCGGCAGTCTCCGCCCAGGCGCCCGGATCACGACCCTCGCGGAAGGCCAGCACCACCCCTGACTCAGCCTCGCCGACAGAAACCGCTGCTTCGGGCCGCACCCCGCTCCGCCCCGTGACGTAATTTGGAGGCGGGACTTCCGGCCGCCGAAGTTTAACAAACCAGGCGGGAGCCGGAAGCCCAGCGCCGGAGCGGGGCGGGCAGTGGCTCCCCGCTGTTCCGTCGGTGAGAGGTGAGGTCCTGGAGGGCCGGGGTCAGCGGGCAGCAGTCCACCACATCCGAACATCCCGCTTGAACCCCGGCCGTCCTCCGGCCACCTCAGGGGGCGGGTCGGAGGTCCCCCGGTCGCCGTGCGCTCGGACCAGCCTGGCTCTCCAGGCCGTTGCTGGGCAGGGGCGAGGCGGAGCAATTGGCGCGGAAATGCCTTGGAGCGGGCGCAGGACTCGCCTGCCGAGGTTGTGCTCTCCGACTTCGGTGGCTTCTGTCCCTGCCCGAGAGGTCTCCTGGGTCACCTAGGATGGGGTTGGTGGGGCTCTTAGGCATGTGCTGCCTCCGGAAAGTTATCTCTTCTTTCACAAGTCTGTCTCCCTTTTTATAAACTTTTCAAACATGACTCGTTTAGCAGACACGCAAATGCATTTTACAGGGTTCCCCAGTTGAGCAGTTCTCCTGCAAGTAAAATGCGTTTTTGGCGAATGAAAGTTGGATAATTTTTATTTGTTCAAGCTGAATGTCAGAGTGGAATTGTTTCAGTTAGTCTCTATCTCCAAATCGGGGCCATCTGTTAACAACACACTTTCGGTGGGACCCTGTGAGAGGCTGATGTAATGTTTATTCCTTAAATGTGCTCAGTTCTTAGAAGACTGATGTAGTTGGGCAGATGGTCTCTTTTTCCCGTTCCACTTTATGAGATGGAAACTGATATTTAATGGCCAGAGTCACTGTCACCTACCTAACTCTGGGGTACATCGCTTGAACGGTTTTTCTGAGCCTTGTGTTAGTGATCTTTCCACTGTGTCACACCGCTGAAGAGGAATGGTGCAAGATTATAGTAGTGAAATCTTTCAGTTGTGTTTACTGGGTTTAGAGATGGCTTTTCCAGCACTTCATTGTTCGTTGAGTAGGGAACCAAGAGGGCGCATGTTAAGGCCCCAAATCCAAACCCTGTATGTCTACATGTCAGCAGGTAACTGTTAGTAGCATCACATTTATCTGATGCATGAAGCATAATGAATCACAGAGTGAATTTTCTAGTTAACAAAAGTTATAGCCTTTTTATAAGAACATTACTTTTTTATTTAGTCTCTTGGGAATGAAAGCATTGTGTAATTTGTTATGCTTGTCCTCTGCAGTGGAGTAGACTGACTATAAATGTGATGTTAATGATTTGGGAGCCTGTCTGTGACATCAGTAATGCTGTGCTAGTCTCGTACTGTCCACACTAGGAAGGTGTGGAGGTATATGTCTATGGTCTGTCCCTTCTGCTTTCTCCCATGGTAATTTTGAGCATTTTTTCGTGACCTGTTATCTGTTACTTTGAAGTGTCTGCTTAGAGCAACTTCCCTGTGCTGTTTCTTATAGACTGCTATGGTTTGGGAAATTACCCTGTTAGATTATATGTTTGTATTATATATCATTAAATAATCTGGGTGAGGACATTGTAGACCAAGAATTGGTGTAGGGGCTTAGTGACATCTCCTTTGAACATATTTGCTAATGTTGGATTTGTTTGGAAAAACTGGGGTGACTGGGTTCAGAACTGTAGGATTGTTACAGTTTGATATCATACAGTTTTTAAAAGATAAGGAAGTCACCTATCCAGTAGTTATTTGTTGAGTACCTACTGTGTGCCAAGGACTTTTCAAGAATCTGGTAATAAGACAAACTCCGTGCCCTCAGGGATCTTTGTTTCATTTAAATCTAGGGAGGTAGACATTATTAGAACAAATAATAATTTCAGATAGCGTTAAGTGCCTTGAAAAAAAATGAAACAGGGTAATGGGATAGAAGATAACGGGCTGATTAAGTCATGATGCCCCGGAAAGGCCTTTTTAAGGATATGTTTGAGCTGACACCTAAATGATGAGATAGATGGCATGGGAAATCTGGGGAAAGAGCTTTCCAGGCAGAGGGAACAGAAAATGCAAAGGTAAGCATGAGCTGGGCTTCTTGCATGAGACAGAATGAAGGCCAGTGTATCTGGAGTCTGATGGACTAGGGGAAGAGTGATAGGAGAAGTGTACAGGGGCCAGGTCTTGGGAGGCATGCTAAGGAGGTTGAGTTTCATTGTTGCTGTGGGGAGCCCTTGGAAGGGTCACTAGGAGAATGTGATCTGGTTTATGTTTTAAAAAGATCACTCCAGCTGCTTTATGGTGAGTGCATCCTGTGGGACAAAAGTGGACTAGTAGAACCATATGCTCTTGTTTTATATTAGACGCTTCATTTTGACTTTTTTTGTTTTTTTTTTTTTTGTATCCTCAATTGCTTTTTAAATTTATTATTTTAAACTATTTGTAGGTGCAGTCATGCAGGAAAACCTCAGATTTGCTTCATCAGGAGATGATATTAAAATATGGGATGCTTCTTCTGTGACATTGGTGGATAAATTCAACCCACACACATCACCAAATGGAGTCAGCTCAATGTGTTGGAGCAGCAATAGTATCCTTTTTCTCTTATAACCACTTTTTATTAGGTTAAAAGTGTCAGTGAAACTTGAGTGCAACCCGTAATGAGAAATATATTTTGCATTGCTACCAAAGATAAAGTAAAACAAACAATAAACAGTATACCATATAAATGGACTCTGGTATTCTCTATTAGGTTTCTTTTTTTAGATGGAATCCACTACATTGAAAACACTGCTATTTAAAAAAAATAAACTTAGCTACAAGAATCCAGACTCTGGAATTAGTTGTATTTTTAACTCTATAAACAGTTTGTTATTGAACCAAATAGGATAAAGTAATGGTGGGGAAAATCCCAAAAGATTTTGGAGTGAGTTTTTGCATCTGTATTTGGGTATTTGTGGATCTGGTCTAGAAATTATAGGCAGAAATTGAAGGCAGAAGCAAAGGTTAGTTAGGAGGAGTTAAAACATTGTCTAACAGCTCTATTTTACTGATGTACTCTGTGCGTTTCTCTTCCTTTCTGTGATGAAAATAGGATCATTTCTCAAACAGAAATTGTCTAGATTGAATTTGCCTAACGTTGTTATGTTTTTGGTTCACATGCTCCTTGTCTTGGTGAACTCCTGAATGTGAATAAAATAAATAAGGGAGTAAAGCCTGTAAACCAACCAGAGTTTCTCATTCTTGGCACTATTTACTTTTTGGGCCAGATAATCTTTATTGTGAAGGACTGCTGTATGCATTGTAGGATATTTAGAAACCTTCCTGGCCTGTACTCAAATAGATGCCAGTAGTCCTCCCCCACCACCTCCCTGCCCCAAGTTGTGACAACCAAAAATATTTCCAGACATTGCCAACTGTCTCTTGGGAGGCAAAAACCACTGCTGTAAACAAAGTATTCTTATCATCTGTTGTATGAAAATGTTTTATATACTTGCCATGCTAGAAATTATCATTCTTTTGTGGAATTCATAATTATGCTCATACACTTTCTTAACAGATTAAATTTTTACATATGTCTGATCTTGTCAATACCGTCAGTGTTAATATCCTGCTTTCTGACAAAGGGGAAAATATCAAAGCTTTAAAATATGACTGTTTTCATGCCTCACCTAATGTGTTCTTGCAAATACATAGTAATGATGAATTTTTTTATTGCATTGAATTTACCTCTTCAGCGTTCCTTGACTTTGTATTAAAGTAGTAAACTACATTACTTTGATGCTCTATTAATTAAACCCATGGTAAAGTTACTACACTTTTGAAGGACTCTCCAGATGTGTAGCAGGGGAAATGTTTTAAAGAGTGATGAAAATATGAGGTTGCCGTTCTCTTTCTTTTTAGGTTTTCATTATATTTAAGCTTAATTTCTCCTGCCAGTTACTGATAAAAGCAATAATTCTTAACAGAATTTATTGTTTTTTGTTTATTTTTGCTACAAAGAGTTTTCCCAGGAGTTTGCATTTACTGATGCAACACTTAGTGGTCTATCAGCAAAACTGGCATGACCATGAAATAGTGCTGTATGACTTATGGAAATTGCTTTATTTTTTTTAATAGTTTACATGTATGAGTAGATGTGCACTGGAAGCCGTCATACAGTCTTATTCCTAATGAGACTTATCCCTTCTGTGGAGATTAGTTACTGAAGAACAAAGAGGCCTCAGACTCATAAACTTGGGGCCTCTTAGCACAGACTTCAAGAGCACAAGAATAGGGTAATGGTGAGGTACCAAGGAGGTTAGTTCTCTTTTTGTTTGTTATTTTTCCAGGTATGTTTCTCACTTTTTCATGACTTCTAAAACTACAAGAGAAATAAAGAATAACTAGAGTTCCCTCTCTCATTATCTTCCTTCAGTCCTTCCCTTTCTATATTCTAAGGAGAAAAGTGGTAGTAAACAGAGGAAGAAGCAAAAAAAGAGAAATGGCTTTTTTTTCTCAGTGTTATAGGATCTAGGTGGAAATGATTGTGTTTGAGTCATGTATCATAATAAAATTAGTACCTGAATGTTATGCAAACTACCTAAAAGTAATATAGTTAGGATTCTCAGAGTGTTTAGTCTTTCTCCATTGTTCATAGACTTTGCTTGCTAAGTAAAAAAACATACATTGAAAGCTCTATTTTAATTTGGTAGTGACTCAAAATCACTTATTCTTGATTGTTATATTTGCCTATTTTAGTTTTAAAACTTTCACTTCTTTGTGCTTACTGATTGTTCCATTAATAATTTATATAAAATAAGGTAAAAATAATTTAAAATTAAATTACATTTTAGTGTAAAGTTAAACTAAAGTTCTTCTATAACATAAGCAGTTGCTATTTAACCACACTTGTATTTGCTATATTTACTGTAATATTCGTTCTTAATACATTTAATATTGAAATATTCTATCACAAAAACTCCAGTTCTTAGAAAATCTCAGGCTTTATTTTTTTTAATGGAAAAATGTGAAACTAATGAGGAATTTTGCTTCCTAGTCTTAAATGGGTATGAAGCACTTAAATATCTTGAACAGTTTTTATAGATGAAAAGGCTGGTTGATATTTGCCGATGCTGCTTTTATTATGCTCTCATTCTTGAAGGATAAAATTAGACCTTCTGGCCTACCCTTTGAAAACAGAGTAGTATTTCACATGGGTTAAATAACTTTCAAGTGATAGCAAAGCCAGAAAGGATCGTTCCTCCCTGCAGTAGTAGTAAAGAGAATTAGTCTTAGCAATTAGTAACCTGAGCCATTTTTGAAAGCTAATGTATAAGCTGTGTTCATTTGTGTCTTCTCAGAGCGCTTGCTTTTGTCATCTCGATTCTTATAATAGTCTAATGCTAGAGCTGTTCCTGAATTGTTTGGTGCTCCATAACTCTTCATTTAGATAACTTTCTGGTGACGGCATCTTCCAGTGGCGACAAAATAGTTGTTTCAAGTTGCAAGTGTAAACCTGTTCCACTTTTAGAGCTTGCCGAAGGGGTAAGTTTAACAGTTTTTTTTAAACCTTTTAAAATCTTAGTTCTGCTTAAGTGATAATTACTTATATATTATGGTGCTTATAACTAAGGATTGCTATGAGTCAGGATTGACTCGATGGCAGTGGGTTTGTTTTTTGGTTTTTTAAAACTAAATGTAAAGGTGTTTAAAAACATCATTCTTAAGCCAAGCTCAAAATAGTATAGTAACACTTAAAGGTGCTTCTTTGTGTGAAATATCTTTAGGTAAAAAATAATACTGGATTCTGGGGAGAAGGAGGGTATTCAAGAACTTGGATTTCCCTTATCAGGCCCTTTCCCCATTTCCCCTCCATGGGAGGATCCCTGTTATTGTTACCTTTTTTAAGATCATGTCCCACTCAGGTCACTTGCTTGAAGGTGGAGGGTGGTCTGTCTGTCCTTCCTGTGTTGTCCTAGGAACATTACTGACCCTACCCTTATTGACCTTGGGCTCTGGACCATCAGCAAAAGACCTGTATCTCATCAGCAAAAGACCTCAACTTTTGTCCACCTAGTACTGAGGACCCTACCTGAGCCTCCTCCAAGCTATCCTTGAACAGATGGCTTTGTCAGAATGAGCATTGGTCCCAGAGCATTTAAGTGAAGCTCTCATTTCATTGTTTCCTTATCCTTTCATCTTATTAAATAATCCCTCTGATTCAGGAAAATGCTGGCTTCCTCATTTCTAAGCACATGTTCCTCCCCCTTCTCCACCCCTCCTTTTTTTATAAATAAACTAAGGTCTGAATGAAAGGTAGAAGAAATTGGTAGCTTATTCTTTTTTTAGTTTCAAACTTTTCATAGAAAATCCTAAGTCATTATGAATTGTCATAATTTTACACACTGGGATAGGTAAGTTAGCCCAATTAGAAAGAAAACAGCAGGACAATAGAATATAAGCTTATCTAATTTAAACAGGACTTATGGTTTCTATCCATCTTCTCCTAAAGGTAACCGTTGGGTGTAGGAAGCTTAGGCAGAGAAAATATCTGCTGAGGATAGAAATGGAGTGAGGCACTCTGCCTGTTCAAGCTGAGTTAAGTAAAGTTGAGACAGAGAGTATCTCTGGTCCACAGAAGGCAGACTGCACTCTGCAAGAGCAGGAAAATCATCTTAGTCATATTTGGATCTTCAGATCCTGTCAAAGATGGTCAACAAACATTTGTTGAATTAAATGTCAACACTAAAACAATTTTGATTTCCACCCCTATACACACACATGTATGTGTAAATATATATGTGTGTATATATATACATGCATACATACACACACACATATGTATATTTATATGAGCCCTGGTGGCACAGTGGTTAGGAGCTCAGGCTGCTAACCAAAAAGTCAGCAGTTCGAATCCACCATCTGCCCCTTGGAAACCCTATGAGGCAGTTCTGCTCTGGCCTGTAAGGTCGCTATGAGTCGGAATCAACTTGACAGCAACGTTTTTTTTTTTTTTGGTGTATATATATATATATATACACACACACATACATATACACACCCGTTGTTGTCGAGTCCATTCCAACTCATTGCGACCCTGTAGGACAGAGTAGAACTGCCCCGTAGGGTTTCCAAGAAGCGACTGGTGGATTCGAACTCCCGAACTTTCAGTTAGCACCCGAGTTCTTAACTACTGTGCCACCAGGGCTCCGTGTGTGTGTATGTGTATATATATATGTATATATATATACGTGTATATATATATGTATATATATATACGTGTATATATATATGTATATGTATATATATATGTATATTTGAAGCGTTGGTGGTACAGTGGAAGAATTCTCACTTTCCATGTGGGTGACTCAAATTTGATTTTGGGCCAGTGCACCTCATGTGCAGCCACCACCCGTCTGTCAGTGGAGACTTGAATGTTGCTATGATGGTGAATGGGTTTCAGCAGAGCTTCCAGACTAAGACAGACTAGGAAGAAAGGCCTAGTGTTCTGCTTCTGAAAATCAGCCAGTGAAAACCTATGGATCACAACAGTCTGATTCCTGTGTGCACGGGCTTGCCATGAATCGAGATCTAACTCAACAGCAGCCAACAACAACACGCATGCATCTATCTGTCTATCATCTATCTATATTCTACTTTTATGTATTATACCTTAGATTCAATTTGAAATCTTTTAAAAAAAATACATAAAAATAATAAGTAGTATTTTTTTAGAAATGAGTATGACACAATTTTAAGGCTTTTGTGAATTTTCCAGATTAGTTGCTTTAATTTCTAGTCCTCGTTCCCACAGTTAATAAATCACATCTGAATGGAGATAGATGAAAGTGAGGTCATTATAGTTATAATTTTGAATGTGCTTTAGTTATAAAAAGTATTTTGCAGACTATGGTTCTTTAAACTCTACTAGTTACTTTTTTGTAACAGATTGTAATGTGTCGGTATGGTGGTAACCTCTGCTTCATAAGCTGCAGGTCCTATTATTCATGTGCCATTTGAGCTATTAGATATTTTGTACTTGGGACAGTAAAGTTTGATCCCACTTATTTTAACATTGAGAGGGAAAATTTTGAGTTCATATTTATTTTCTTTGATTTTAAAGCAGATAGGTTGTTATTAACAGTATTAATGGATATGATAGGCTACTAAATAACCCAGAAATTATTATTATTTTTATTTTTAGATTTTAAAAATTGCACCTTTGTCTTATGTCTTGGGCCACAAAATTCCTATAACAAGCATACAATTTCCATTAATTATTTACATTCATTAGCTACATTAATAATACAGTAACATAAAAAAAGATCTACCATCAGAGTAAGCCAGCTACAAATACAGGTTTTGTTTTGAGCCCTTAAGAGTAATTTCTGAGTTGCTTTTGACTGTTAGAATCCCAGTATATTGATCTTTGATGGAAACCATCCTTGTCTGTTTTCTTTAAAGGTTGTTTTGACAGTTTTTAGTAAACTGTCCTGATTTACAGTGATAGCTAGGTTCTAAATCTTATTAGTCTATTATATGAATGCCCTCCTTTCCCCCAGAATCCAATTATTAGTCCGAAGTCTATTCCTGGGATGGTACCTGCAAGAGAATTAAAGCAACTATACTGCAACATTGATGTAATATGCATCCTGCTGCTTTTATATGTGTTAGTTGATAACTCTTGAGTCAAAATTTCCTAGCTGCAAGCAAGTTTGGGTAGTCCAGTGGGGGAGGGAATGGGGACCATCTGCACCCTTTTAAGAATCCTGAGCAGAGGATATTTTGAGATGCATGGACTCAGGGTAAATCTTGTCCTCTTCCCAAATGAAGAAACTGAGACTCAGGAAGGTGAGATAACTTGCCTAAGCCTATGAAGCTTGCCTTTTAACTCTTAAATAAGACATAAAATGTCCCCTATAAAATGTCTTTATTTTTCTTACGGCTTTCAACTGGAGATGAGAACAAGTAATGTAACTACATAGTACATTTATAGGTTAAATAGAAAACAGCGTGCAGCATTGTGTTCTACCATGTAGCATAGTTACCAGTGGCACCATCAGATAGATGACACTCATAGGTATTCATCATGAGAAGAAATTGGTAACCTCTGTATTTTTAGCCATTTATTCTATAAATATATATTGAGCATGGGTATGGTTCTTGCTGTAATGAAGCTGGCATTCTGCTGGGAAACAGACAATAAACTAGTAAATAGGAAAAGTCAGATAGTACTAAGTTGTATGCAGAAGACTAAATTATGGTATTGCCATAGTAAGTTATATTAGGTGGCCAATGAAGCTCATGAAGAAGAGGTATCTGTATTGATATCTGTTGACCAGAAGAAGCCATCCAGCCAAGATTCAGGGAAGTCAGCTTTGCAAGCAAGGAGAATAGTTGTGTAGAAGCCCTCAGGCACAAAGTTACTATGTTTAAGGAATGGAAAGAAGGTTAGTATGGCTGGAGAATTGGTAGGTGAGGAGAAAAATTGTAGAAGATGAGGTAGGCAGGAACAAGATGAATAGGGTTTTGAAAGCCAGGTTAATGAGTTTGGAGTTTATTATAGGTGTGATTTGAAAGCCATTGAAAGTTTTTAAACAGGAGAGTGATGATCTGATTTACATGTTTTAAAGGTCTCTGCTTATGAAGGATGAGATGTAGGAAAGCGGATGGAAACAGGGAAACGAGTTAGTTGGCTGCTGTCACGGTCCCAGCAAAGTTTGGATTACATTGCTAGTAATCCTGATAGAGAAAGGTGGCCGGTGTGGGATTTAGTTAAGCATTGGAGTTCAGAGGATTTAGGGATAGATTAGGCGAAGGGAGAAAGAGAAATCAGGGATAATTCTGGATGTTTACTTGAGAAACTGAATGGATGGTGTCTTTAAAGAGATGGAAAAGAATGTGAAGTCAGGTTTTGTTTTTTTTTTTTTAATTGTACTTCAGGTGAAGGTTTACAGGACAAATAGTTTCTCATTAAACAGTAGTACACATATTGTTTTATAACATTGTTTAACAACCCCATGACATGTCAACCCTCTCCCTTCTCGACCTTTTTTTTTTTGGTGAAAATATACATAGCAAAAGATACACCATTTCAAAAATTTCTACGTGCACGGTTCAGTGACATCGACTACGTTCTTCCAGTTGTGCTGCTATTCTCACTTTAGATGAAGGTTTACAGAACAAAATAGTTTCTCATTAAACAGTTAGTACACATGTTGCCCTGTGACAGTGATTAACAACCCCACTACATGTCAGCACGGCCCTTACTCAACCTTGGGTTCCCTGTCACCAGCTTTCCTGTCCCCTTCTGCCTTCTAGTCCTTGTCCCTGGACTGCTGTGCTTCATTAGTCTTGTTTTGTTATATGGGGCTGTCCAATCCCCAGCTGAATGGTGAACCTCAGGAGTGACTTCACCACTGAGCTAAAAGGGTTTCTGGGGGCCATACTCTTGGGGTTTCTCCAGTCTCTTTCAGGCCAGTAAATCTGGTTTTTTTTTGTGTGTGTGTTAGAATTTTATTCTACATCCTTCTCCAGGTCTGTCCGGAACCCTCTGTTGTGATCCCAGTCAGAGCAGTCAGTGGTTGTAGCCTGGCACCATCTAGCTGTACTGGACTAAGTCTGGTGTAGACCTTGGTAGCTGTGGTCCATGAGGTCAGGTTTTGTTAGCATAATGTTTGAAACTTGAATTTCTTAGAGGGAGATTTACTGTGCTGGGCAAGTATCTTGGCCTCTTTATAAAACTTTCCCTATCTATAAAATGAAGGGTCTACCATGATGGCACACAGCAGTCCCTTCTGCCTTTAGCATTTTCTGAGCTGAGGGGAGATTTTACTTTACGATATTCTGTGGAAGTACAAGAACAGGTTTTATTAAGGAGCGATATTAAGGGCAAGTAATCTCTAATGGGGCCAAGACTTGCTGTCCACTCCACCTCCAGGTGCCTCCTAAGCTTCCTCTGGGAAGAGAACACGAATTTGTTTTATTTCCTTGAAGACTTTTGAACCCCTTATAAGCTCTGGATCCATGTGAAAGATGATGAGGAGTGAATCTTTAGTGATAGTATGTTTTATAATTCAACAAATATTTATCATGTGCTTATTATGTGTTGGATGAGACCTGAAAATCAGTTCTGGATATTATTAAGGTAACTTGTTTTTTTTTTTTAAAATAGCAAAAGCAGACATGTGTCAGTTTAAATTCCACATCTATGTATTTGGTAAGCGGAGGCCTAAATAAAACGGTTAATATTTGGGATTTAAAATCAAAAAGAGTTCATCGATCTCTTAAGGTAAGCACCTGTTTTTGGTTGTTGTTTGTTTTTTAATTCTTACAGAAATGAGTATCCCACGATGTGTTTAGAATAGTTACCAGACTTGTTGGGCTTCTGTTTTTTGTGTTTCTTGTGTGCGTGTGTATTTCCAACTTGGTAAGGAAACATTTCCAAAATAATTTTCTATTTACAATTAATGTTTTTTTAAAAATACTGAGCTTTTTGTAGTTCCAGAAAATAAAAATATTGATCACATGAAAGCCTCTGGGGGTGACGATATTTTTAGAATTCTGTTTTTCACTATTGTGCCTGTTTAGTATTTAGAAGTTGATCTTTAAAATGTCTTTTAAATATAGTTTTAATATGGAGAATTTTAAACACAGAACTTTTGTTAACCCATCACCACATACTCATCACCTAACTTCAACTCACGGCCAATATTGTTTTATCTGTACCCTCACCTACTCTCTACCCTCACTCCACCCCCAGATTATTTTGAAGCAAATACCAGGCGTCATTATCATTTTTTATTATATGTCTTAATGTCATTGAGTTAATTCTTATTAAAGAAATGGTTTATCGAACGGTTTTCTCTTAGCCACGTTGAAGCGTAATCCTATAATTGCTGTTTAAAGTATTACCTTTGGAAGTTCATTATTTTAGGTATTAGCAAAGATTTGAAGAATCTTAACTCTAAAATCTCTGCTGTGGAAAAAATGGGTAATTGAAAAGTTATCAATAATGAGAACAGTTAACATTTGTTGAGTTCTTTGATATGGCAGCCATTGTGCTTAACATACATTTGTTCTGCTTATCTCAACAACTGCAAAGCAGATAGTATTATTCCTTGTACAGATGGGAAAACAGGCTCAGAGATGTTAACAAACTTGTTCAGTGTCAAACAACTAGTAAGTGGCAAAGATGAGATGCAAACTCATGTTATTCATTGTTTAGTCTTTTAAATTATGAAATATCTCAATTAAGGCTATTTAGAGTGATATACCTAAAAACCAAACTGATTATCATTGAGTCGATTCTGGCTCATAGCCACCCTGTAGGACAGAGTAGAACTGCCCCACAGGGTTTCTGAGGCTGTAAATCTTTATGGAAGCAGACTGCCACATCTTTCTCCCATGAAGCAGCTGGTGGGTTCGAACTGGTGACTGTTTGGTTAGCAGCTGATGGCTTAGCCACTGTGCCATTAGGGCTTCTTAAGGTTAGGTGCTCAGCTGCTAACCAAAAGATTGGCGGTTCGAACCCACCAGCGGCTCTGCGGGAGAAAGATGTGTCAGTCTGCTTCCATAAAGATTACAGCCTTGTAAATCCTGTGGAGCAGTTCTGCTTTGCCCTACAGAGTCACTATGAGTTGGAATCAACTTGACAACCATGGGTTAGAGGGATATACCTACTATGAGTAAAGAGTATCTGAGAGAATTGAGAAGAGATTGGAATTCTGAGACCAGTTTTGTCATGTACTGTCACACATTTTAAGAGCATCACTTAGTCCCAAAGTTCTACTCCTTTTCCCAGCCTCATCTTTCCCCGTTACTTCAGATACTATTTTTTCTTCTCATTGTTTGAAACTCTTACAGTGCTTCATTCCTCCATCCATTCAGCTAAGAAGTGTTTGACTAATTGTGACAGGGGAAATCTTGTCTTTCAGCTTTGGATCCCTCACCTATAGTCCTTTCCCTAGTTACTTAGCACAATCGTTGGCACATGGTAGGTATTTAGTAAATGTTTACTGAATGACTGATTTTTCGACAGTTGAAATCATCAAAACACCTGCCTCTTTACAAAGTTACAGAAATTGTTTTGGTCCCTACGTTCTTAATTTCCCAAATGGGCATGATGCACAAAACGTTCCTAGTTTGCTTTTCTTCTAATCAAACATTTTTTCCTCAGGATAACAATTATTTCTTTGATTTAGAAAAGGAATGAAATGCAAAGAAACCTCCAAAATGCTTGAATAACCACTAAAAAAAGTTGCAGTATAAGTAGAATAGCTTCTATTTTTGATGTTGTGTTAGTCTAATTATTAGATACAAAACTTTGTTTATAAGCTATGACTGTTAAAAACTATGCTCCTAACCCTGACAACTTTCCATGCTCCTGCTAGACGTCTCTAATTTGATGTCAGAAAACATAGTTCTTGTGAACTCAGTCTGTTTAAAACCAAGCAGTTTTATTTCCTCAAAGTGGATTCCCCTTTGGATTTGGGAGGCAGCTGGCATAGGAGGAGCATAGGCTTTGGCGTTTGGCCTGGAATTGAATCCTAGCTCTGCCACTTAACAGTAACGTGAGCTTGGGCAGGTTTCTTAACCTTTTGGTGCCTCGTTTACCTCATCTGTAAAATGGGAACAGTGACCTTGCTTCTCAAGATTGTTGTAAGGATTAAATAATATATAAAGCTCCCAGCACTAGAAGGTACTCAGCAAATGGAAGCAGCTCCTATTATTTGTCAAAAATGCCTTCCTCATTCTGGCTTTTGGGCTTTGTTTATTGCTCTCTTTCATTTTGGAATGTCTGTGGTTTCTTTCTCCTTCCCCTAACCTATTTCTTATCCTTTCTTTAAGGTTGTACTCTAGCTTTATGCCTCCCATAAAGCCTCCTCTGTCAGCCCAGTTCACAATGATACCTCTTTTTCTTTCCTCTGACACTTTGCCTCTACCACTCATTTCGCATTCGCTCTGCCATTTTCATGTTAACTTCAACACCTTGTCTTCTCAGTTGAACTGTAATACTCTCAAAGGCAGGGCCCCTCATAACAGTCAACTTTCAATAAATGTTACTTGTCAGTGGAAATGAATTCTTTAAGGTAGACATAATGCCATTTAGAAAATTACCTTTCCAAAGTCTCTTGGAAAACTTTCAGAGTGGCTGATCAGTTACCGAAAATTAATCTCAGTTCACTGAAAAGCCTTGGTGTTGATTAGATAGTCTCCTACTTGAGTAATTTTTTTAGGTTATTCAAAGAAACTGTTTAAGTAAATATTAGATTGACAAATATATTGTATTTGGTATTTATAAAAACATGAAAATGGCCTGTTCCAGTGAAGCTTATGTGGCACTGTACTTTTTTAATTTTTCTTTTTCAGGATCATAAAGATGAAGTAACGTGTGTAACATATAATTGGAATGATTGCTATGTTGCTTCTGGATCTCTGAGTGGGGAAATTATTTTGCACAGTGTAACCACTAATTTATCTAGTACTCCATTTGGCCATGGCAATAACCAGGTACAGTATGAGTTTATTCAAAATAAAGTTGATAAGTTACATTTTGAATTTTCTTACGTAAGACTAATGAACTTAAGTTTTTTAAATTATAAAATATTTTAAATTTGCATTTAACTTGCTTGAGAAACTTAAAGGTTGCTGTTTTTTAATGCTAGTGTTTAAAAATATTCAAATTAACAAGCTAATTTATACTAGATTATGGTGCTTACATCAGTTCAGTTATGCCATTGGATAGTCACATCGTCTTTGGAACATAACTATATAACAAAATATGAATAGTTGTTAGTAAGTTAAGCCTAAACATAGATATTAATGTTTCTATATCGTTACTGTTACGGAAGTGTTGTATAGCTCAAACTATGTCAGCTACAAGAGAGACACTTATGTTTAGCAATATTCTGGTTTACACGAGATAATTGAGTGTTTGGACACAAAGTTTTTTTTTTTGTTTATTTGCTGAAGTGTATGATAATGTATCAAAGTTTAATTCATATATTTCGGGTTAATACAGGACTATTTAGGGAAACTTTTTATAAAAGAAAATCAGTCATTTTTTTTTTCTTTATTAAAAATTCTTAAAAGAATAAAATCAGTTTCTCAAGAAACATGATTCTTGGCTTACTTTCCATGAAATTCTCCACAGAAATTTCCAAAGAAGTACAACTTCTTTTAATCATTACTTTTTACTGTAATCACTCTGAGCTCTGCGGGTAATCACTCTGACCATCACTGGAGAAAATATGAGAGATCTTTATTTTTGGAAAGCAGTTTTTAAAGTCATTATTTCAATAGTATTTATTTAGTGTTTAAGGAAAATTTAATAGCTATTAAAAATGTATAGTAAAAAGTCTTTTCTCAGGTTTTATATGAATTAGGATAAAAGAGTGTAAGTGGTATTATGGGAGATAATATAAATATGTTACATATTTATATATAATAACATGTATAAAACGGTCTTAAGGTGATTCAGAACAGAAATGAGAAAAGTATCTGATAGGAATAAAATAGGGAAAATTGAAGGAGGGAAGATTTCAGCTGGGTCTGTGTTACTTGATTTTTTTTTTTTTTTTTTAATTACCACAGTATAAACTGGCCTGACCTCTGTATACCACTTATTTGATGCTAACTTGTATTAGGTGTTGCTGGGTGGTGCACATGGTTAATGCACTCAACAGCCAACCAAAAGATTCGAAGTTTGAATCCATCCAAAGGCATCTTGGAAGAAAAGCCCTAGTGACCTACTTCGAAAAATGAACCACTGAAAGCCCTGTGGAGCACAGTTCTACTCTGACACACATGGAGTCGGCATGAGTTGCAATTGACTCCACAGCAGTGGATTTTTTTTTTTTTTTTAACTTGCGTTAGGGTTAACTCTTTAAATGTTCACATTATAGTTGGAACCATGTTTTTGTTTCTTTGTTTTTAGCCTGTTGTCCAGCTTAGTGCCTTATATGGAGTAGATGCCCAATAAGTATGTGAATGGATGAATACATTTTGAGCTGGCAAAGATTTTAATAGGCTAATAGAGAACTTTGGAAGAGGGTATTTTATCTGGAGAAGATCATGTGAACAAAAACAAGGAGACAGGAAAGTGCTTGGGTTTTATATAGGGACCAATGTGAGAGAAGATTGGAAAGGTATGTATGAGCATAGTGCTACAGGACTTTTAATGCCAAACTAAAAATTTGCTTTTATTTTGGAAGACATTTAGGAAAGTAATGAGGGGTTTTGATTTGTTGATTGTCAGAATCATAGAATGTTGAACTGTAAAAAAGCCTTTATAAGTAATCTCACTTTTGTATTTTATCGATGAAGATAAGTGATTTGCCACAGAGATGAGCTTTAGAATATATTGTCACAAAATCAGAAAATTGTATTTTGTTTTTGAGCTTTCTTTTGCATCTTTTTTTATGCATTAGGTGAAAAATTTACAGAGCACATTACATTCCCATTCGATAGTTTGTACATAAAGTGTGTCATGGCCTTGGTTTTATTCCCCACAGTGTGTCAGCATTCTCCCCATTTCCACCCTGGGTTCCTTGTTACCTTTTGTCCTGATTTTCTATCCATTCGTGCCTTCTCATGTTTGCTTTTGGGCAAATATTGCCCTTTGGATCTCTTATAATTGATTGTTGTAAGGAGCATGTTCCTCTTGAGTGTTATTATTTCATGAGCTTGTCTATTGTTTAGCTGGAAGGTGGTCTCTGGGTATGACTTCAGTTCCAGGTCAGAAGGGTGTCTTAGGGCCATAGTCTCAAGGTTCCTCCAGTCTCTGTCAGACCAGTAAGTCTGGTCTTTTTTTGTGAATTTGATTTTATTGTCTATATTTTCATTCTACATTTTCTCCCGCTCTGTCCAGGTCCCTCTGTTGTGATCCCAGTCAGAGTAGCCAGGCACCATCTAGTTCTTCTGGTCTCGGGGTCATGTAGGCAGTGGTTCATGTGGTCCATTAGGCCTTTGGGCTAATTGCTCCGTTGAGTCTTTGGTTTTCTTCATTCTCCTTTGCTACAGACGAGAAGAGACCAGTAGTTTTATCTTAGATGGCCACTTGTAAGCTTTTAAGACCCCAGACACTATTTTCCAAAGTTGGATGCAGAACATTGCCTTTATGAACTATGTTGTGTCAGTTGATGTAGATGTCCCCCTGAGTCTGTAGTCCTTTGCCTTTGAGCCTAGGAACTTCATCCCAAACCCTTTGGGGCAGTTCTGCTCTGTCCTATAGGGTCGCTATGAGTTGGAATCAACTTGACAACAACGGGTATAAGAAGTTTCCCTGACCGTGGCCCTTGTGTGCTCTATTGTCTATATTAATATATGAGGACCACGTACAGTCACGTATGTAGAAATATCTACCACCAAACCTGTATCTTCCAGTGGTTATGCTCACTTACACCCTCCAGCACCTCTTGGCATATCTTTTAGTCTTTGTTATGTCTTAAATTCATTTACTTTGTTGCATGAAATAGTAGTTCACACTGTTTTAATACCGTGTAGTGTTTAATACTGTGGAACACTCATGGTGCAGTGGTTAAAAGCTCAGCTGCTAACCAAAAGGTCGGTAGTTTGAATTCACCGGCTGTTCCTCGGAAACCCTATAGGGCAGTTCTCCTCTGTCCTGTAGGGTCCGTATGAGTTGGAATCGACTTGACAGCAGTGGGTTCCTGGTGACACAGTGGTTAAAGCGATCAACTGCTAACCAGAAGGTCGGCTGTTCGAAACCACCATTGACTCCGCAGGAGAAAGATATGACAGTTTGCTTCTGTAGACATTTATAGCCTTGGAAACCCTATGAGGTTGCTGTGAGTTGGAATCAACACAACAGCAGTTGGTTTTTTGATTTTTCATGTTCCACAATTAACCCCTTCTATGGTTGATTGACATTTGAGTTGTTCCCTGTTTTTTAGCTATTATGAATAAAGCTACTGTGATTATTTTTTTTTTTTTTTTTTTTTTTTTT